CTTGTGACTAAGACGAATCCATAAACCATAATTGGGTTTTTATTCCATTATCCTTATAACTCTAGTTATTATGTGCTTGTAGTATAGCTAACATGAAAGGCTGAATGCATTAAGTCATTTAGAGGATATTTACATAAATATCTAGAGTATTAAATGTCTGGCAAGCACCTAGAATTAAGGGTATCATTGATCCAATCAATCATTAACATATTTTTTGTGCGGACAATGCATGGATTCACTATTTTTATATGGCTAAATCAAGCATTACGTGACAAAAGTCCTACACCTTTGCTTGCTCGAATTAATAAATCTCCATTGCTTGTCATCTCAAATCTGATTATACGTTCTTATGATGTTAGCATTTGTACTTACCACCAACCTTTTATGTGTAGTATAAGGACTAACAATGTGGACCTATATTCACAAAGATCTGTTTGGTTTTTAGAATATCGTTACTTCGTTTTGCAGAACTTGCAACCACACAAAAACAAAGATAGTCCTTCTACAATCCATATAAGTGGTCCAAACTTTTGCATATGACTGTACTATGCTTCTGGATAACCCCGGGCAAAAATACGGTCTTACTTGCATGATTTTCTCTGATAAGTTTTATTGATTCTAATACAATGAAAAATAAGTGACTTTATGAATGATCCAAGAAGTGGTAGCATGACACATACCATTTTAATAACTAACTCGATTTTTCTTGAAGCATACTTACTCAATTTTGTAAGCATTGTCACAACATGATTCTATTTGAGTCGCATTATGCTCAACATAAAAGGCCACTTATTCCCAAGGATCATGGATATGTTCCTCATACAGATTTCTTCAAGGAATCAAAGTTCACTCTTACAATCTTTGCTCTTCCTACTGTGATGCACTTCATATACATGTTTCCTGAGCGCTCCACGTAATTACATGTTCTTTGATGATTTTACATAAGCCGCTATACTTGAGAATATCCTACATGAAAAGCTCCTCTACCACTATTTGTGTATATCCTCTTACTCATATGAATTCTTAACATGTCATGATCTTCGCAGCATCCTTTCATAGCTGTTGTGAGCTAATCAAACTATGGCTTCGATAGTCTTCCTCGTATCGCGGTGAGATCTTTCCAATTCTTACATTTCATGTCTCAAAAATGGCTGCTTTTGAAGGGGGTAGAGGCCCCCAATAATATACTGCGTTGTATGTCACTTCTCGTGCTTCGATAATTTATTACTCACTAATAAATCTACAAGTGCATGAGTAGGTGTTTTGTCAGGACCAAAGAACCATCCTGGTTTATCATGAAGCATGCACTCGAGAGGCATCACCATCCGAGTATTATGTCCTCGACAATTATCATGAAAGGATTCAAACGGATTCTCCTTATAAACCAAGGTACGCTCGAACGAGCCTTTGGGTATGCATCCTTGATCTAGGAGAATGGCAGTTCCAAGGTTTGGGAGCCTCTTTATATGCTTATTAGATAAATTTCACACTGTTTATATAAGTATGTCGTTATTATACTTGCAATACATGTCTCGGACTAAGTTGCAGGAAAACATACCCCGAGAACTCTGGGGCAAAATAAGCAGAGATACGTAACTCTCGCAACTGATCCCTCGAGGATAGTGGCATCGTCAAGTTCGCTCTGACCTTAGGGCGTTTATGTTCTAAACCCGGTATATAGACTATCAGTCTAATGCACATAGTGCTAGCCCACTCGAGTACTCATGGGAGCTGTTATATCTCATATACGCAGTTACACCCAAATTAAGCATGACTAGTCACTTGAACAGATATCCTTTTCAGGATCGTCCTTAAAAAAGACATTCTCTTCAGAATCGTCTGTATTCGAGGAACTCATACCAATTTCCTCGAGGATATCCTCTTCAGGATCATCCTTAAAAAGACATTCTCTTCAGAATCGTCTGTATTCGAGGAACTCATACTAGTTTTCCTCGAGGATATTCTCTTCAGGATCGTCCTTAAAAAGACATTCTCTTCAGAATCGTCTATATAAAGGTATCCTCTTCAGAATCGCCTGCAATAGAGTCGTGTACTTAACATCCGGCCATTATAAGCACTTTACAAATAACTCATAAGCCGTGTACTCGACATCCGGTATTGAGAAAGGCCTAGATTTTCATATTCATGAACAATGGGTGGACTATCCCTCGAACCTAAACACATATGTTTTATACCTTAATGAGAACTAGACTTGTTCTCGAGTATACTTTCTTGGATCGATCTATCACATCATCCAATACATCAGAATGAAAATGACTTTATTCTCGATGTTCTCAAATTCACTTTGTGCCTCGTTAATATAGGCCTATTCCTTCTGTTAGGTGATTACCATCCATCTCCTTCTGATAGACGCCATTTTATTGCCTTAACCCTACGAGTATGGGGGCTTCTTGATCAGGCACCTCCTCGAACTGAGCGGCAGGAATTACACTCTCATCTAAAGTCTCGGTCTGTCAAATGACACCCCAAGACTTTGGGGCTCCGAGATGAGTAATGGCTCTGGGGTTATCTATAACGATGAGTGTTTATATATGGGAGATTATAATATGTCTGGAAGGTGTGTAAGGTGTTTTGGAGGATTTTGGGAGGTTGTGTTTTTGTTTTTTCGATGATTATTGGTCTACGGATCTCTTCCTATGACTATTCTCGGCGGTCCTTAGACTGGGGCATCGTTCCTTCACACACTAATGCGTAATAGCTCCTCGATTCTTGCTCGAATCTCGGTCAACAACATTATACATCTACTCAGGTTCGACACTTCAACCTGATTTATACTTCTCAAACCCGGACTAAGAGTTCTATGCTTTATTTCTCGGGACATGAGAAATGGCAAGCGGGTCGGTTGGGCGGATATAAATAAGCTTAAATGCTTATGTACCTTGTTCGAGGTCAGATGATTACAACTCTTGAGTTTGGTCTAGAGCTCTACTCGAGAGAATCTTCTCGAGTCTCACTATCTCTACATTATGGATATCACATGTGGCATCTCTTACGGTGTCTTCTGCTCTTCTATCTCTCCTTGAAAATCAAGGATGCATATTATGACAGTCTCTTCTCTCTAATGTTATATTACACTTGAGCTGGTCTTCTCGAGTCTCTGGCTTTCACTGGGGCAAGTTCTTGACGTGCAGTTCTCGGTGATTATTCTCGAGGTCTGGGTCCATTACTTCTCAATCAGAAGCATATGTCATAGTTCCCCAGTAAACTTCTCACCTCGACAGTGGATATATCTTAGCCGCTCCTAATGGCGCATATTTTGGGACTAGCGGGAATCTCCGCTACGTTTCCTTCTCGACAACAAATTATATTGGGCCAAATTCTTGGCATACATCTCTAGCTTATATTTCTTCTCGAACTTATGTCTTCGAGGTCAAATGTTGATAATCACAGTCTTATTATATCTTCTCTCTTCGTACTCAACATAGTATTGATAGAAGTCTCCTTCTCGAGCTTATCTTCTCGAAGTCCTCGAGACTCATGTGTTCAATCTCATTTAGGCATATCTCTTGCCTCTATTCACGAGGCTATTCGATATCGCTTCTCATTTGTTATTCTCGAAATTTGGAGTTAATGCTTCTCGATCAGAAGTGCGTATTATAGTCTTCAAGCGGATCTCTTGTTCTGTCAGTTATTGACAACGCACCATTGTATATGAAATAGTGGGAATCTCCACTACTTCTTCTTCTATAATCCTCTCGAGGAGCGGTGCGTTTGCCTCAATATTTCTTTGGTCCAGATTGTGAAGATCATCACATGATACTTTCTCGACTAACGTCTGGATCAATGACAGTAGTGGGAATCTCCACTCCTCCTTATTATTTTCTCAAGCAACAGGGCATCTGCTCTAGTATCTCTATGGGGCAGATTATTGAGAACATCACCTATCGACTTCTCACTCGAAAGTTTGAATTGATGACTCTCCTTTCGTCATAAATTGGCATAAATGTCAATTGCCCTTTATGATACGTGCATTCGGCAAGGTACGTGCTAATGCTTTTATTGCTTTAATTTCTCCTTGATGCTAACCAACCACAGGTTCTCGATCCAAGTCAGTTTTTCTCGAACTTGAGAAAACTATATACTCCACGTTATCAAGCCTACTCTATCCTCAGACTTCAAAGTATAGGCTTGATAAGGGGCACTTGACGAGTCCAAATTAGTACGGCCCGTGACTAGGCCGGCCCAAGTTCGGTAAAAGGTCCAACCGGCCTCTGGAAGCTTCTAGGTCGGTTCCTAATTACTTTCCTACCAAGAAAGGGTTCCATAACCTAGCTCTATAAATAGGGATCAATCCCTCATGGTTAAAAGGACGCTCTACGCACCACAATTCATACCCTATTACAATTACTCTTACTGACTTAAGCATCGGAGTGTCTACCCTCGGGAGACCCCGAGGCCCTCTTTTGCAGGTATTAGGGCTTCAACACCGCCATGGCCGCCGTAGTAACCAACTGGAGACGTCGGTACAATTCCATCCTTCGTCACTTGGGTATGTTTGTTTCGTTTTTTTAGTGTGTGTTTTTAGATGTTTTTTGTATTGAAAATGTAAAAAGGTGTATTGAAAATGTAAAAAGGTATGCTGGGATGGGATAATTATTATTTAAATATTTTGAAAATACCATCAAAAAAACCTAACAAACAAGTTTGCTCAAGTCCATAATCTAATTCCCTTATCATATGCAAGAGAAACTGATACTATCTTTCTCTAGTGACATGACATAGAAATGACTGTGGCAATGGAACATTCTAAAATCTAAACAATTTTTTCTAAATCACGCTCCCATATGTATATATTGTAATCCTCATAACCACTCACAAAGTACTCCCTACCAACACCGTCTTTAAAAGAACTTGCACGAATGCAATATAGCGAATTAACGTGTCCTTTGTAGGACTTCTGTCCAAAGTTCCAATGAGAATGGAAGGGCTGCTGTCTAGAAACTTCACAAAAGTCACCACTGCATAATTTGGGGAATAGGTCAGGTAACTACTCCGAGCGCGACGTCCCAAGTTCTAAAAGACCCAGCATAGCTGCTGGATGCTATCTCCTTTCTATCATAGCTGTAAGGGATCGAAGTCACTCCGGCAGTATGCCCATCCATCACAAGTGCTCCGCGGTTGGTTCTGCTATCCCATATGCGAAGTGTCTTGTCCACTGATCCAGAAACAAAAATTTGGCTACCAGGGCTGAAGTCTACAGAGAACACCAAATCTGTATGACCTATCAGAGTGGACAAGAGACGTAGGGTGCTAACATCCCAGACTTTAACTCTACGGTCGTTGGAAGTGCTGCCAAAATATTTCCCATCGGGTGAGAAAACGATGGAAGATATGACGCCATTGTGAGGTCGACCCAAAAAAGCACAAGGATAGAACCGATTTTTAGAACAATCAAAGAGTTTGATGCTTTTACCATCAGCGGAGGCGGTAGCAAAATGTTTACCGTCCCTAGAAAAATCGACACGGGAGGATATTAGGCAGTAGTACGCTGGGATTAAAGGATCAACCATTTTCTCTTTTAATGCATATCGATATGGATTATATGATTGAACAATTGGGTCTGGCCAAGGTGCAGCCCGTTTTTTTTTATCAACCCTTAGTGGACAATTCTTACACAAATTTGTCAAATGTTTTTTCATAGATCTAGTACCATACTTACTGAGATCATCAGCATAAGATTGTGGACAATACTTACACTTGACACATACACCTTGGGGTGGAATTGGATCTGGCTTAATAAAATGATCCCATAAAATCGAGTCTTTCCTCCTTTTTCTACCACCATTATCACTTTCGGCTTCTTCTACCTCGTGTTTCTCCTCATCTTTACCATCTATGTCATTGATATCAACATTCTCGATATCAACATCAATAGCAATGTTTTCATGCCCATCTTCCATTTTAGATACAAACCTGAAAACGAGAAAAATATTATCAGCATTAAAAAAAAAAAAAACCATATAGTTGCTTACATTCTTTTTTATATAAAACTCAAAATGTAAAAAAATATGTTAATAAGATTAAAAATAATAACTAAATTGAACCATGCAGTTGAGTACATCATGGTTCTTATGTATATACAAACCTAGAAAGCAAAATAAATATTTTAATAACATTAAAATAAATAACTCAAGTTAAACATGTAGTTGTGTAAATTTTTGTTTGTTTGTTTTTTTTTTTTTTTTTTTGGCTCAATCAACTAGAATTTTTATAACTTTTTCCTGGTGACATAAATTCAAGAGAGTTTCAAGGAGAGTAACCCCCAGAAGGCTAGCCCCATGTTCCTAACATGATCGATTGATCATAAATATTAACATTACAAAAGCTTGAACAGAGGCCATGACATTCTTCCTAGCTAGCGCTTCAATAGGTACCAATTTAAGTATCACAATGATTAAAGTTCAAATTGATTGTGAAGTTTTAACTCATGACTTGCGAAAAATCCAAATTCCGACTGAAGTTCAGGAGGTAGTTTCGTTATTAGTAAACTTGATTGATTCTTTTGAATCTTGCCAACTAATTAAAGTTGATAGGTCTGGTGTTAGTGAGCTACATAATCTAGCATATTGTCGGATGCATTGTAATAATTTAGGTACTTTTTTCTAATCTAGTACAAGTATTCTTTTCAATATATATATATATATATATGTATATATATATATATATTCTTCCTTTTTTTCTTTCCTTCATATTTGAAGAATGTTCGCAATATTTAACATGAACTAAATCTTTATTTTTTAAAAAAGAAGTTAGAGGTTTTTTCACAGAACATCTCTTCAAAGACGAGATGATGAGAATAAACTATTACTTTCTCTTTTCATTAATGTTTTATATAATTATGTAGTTTGGATTTTTTTAGAGAAAAATAAAAAGTGAAAAAGTAGTAATTAAGGTGGTTCCATCTTCGTTTTTGAAAGTTAGAAAAATCTGATTATGAACTAATTAATGCACTCAAATTTTAAAAAGGTAGTTTGCCCAAAGAAAAACACAAAACAAACGAAATCACAAGATATACTAGCAACTATAGGTTGTAATGTCGGTCCTTCTTTCACTTACTTGATTACTTCAATGGTTTGGCAGAATACTTTTACTAGTACACGATAGATTAGCAGTACAACTATGTCCAAATAGTTATAAAACCATCTAAATGACTCAACACATGTTCTCATTCCTCAATCTTCATTTCACAAGGGGATTTTGTCTTTGAGGTATTCACAGACATCAGAGAATGATTCACTCGCCAACCTAGCTCTAATGTCATCTCTAGTACACTATTCGCTCCACTTGTAAGGGTATACGGCATACACGGTGAATGAACCACCAGTGTTTCGATGATCAATTTTGAAGCAACTGATATTGGTTTTTTGACCAACGTAACCCCTCCCTCCACTGTCATATTCCCTTCACTGACCTCACGACGGGTCTCCAAAAATTGCTTAATTGAAGGTTGACTTGTGCCTGTTAAAAGAAAGGTCCTCGGTCCATCATATCTGGTCCTGATCTTCATTTTACTAGTGTTCTGTAGATAATATAAGTCAGGTACCATATGGCCATTTTCAGACCTCCATGACACAATCAAAAAAGCTAAATGTGGACTGTGCATATTCAAAACTTATGTGATCCGTGATCCATCAGGAAGCCCTTTCAGCGGACCAAGGTTTGTTATTCCGCTCTCCTTTTTTACATATTTTCTCCAATTTCTCCAACAGCGCTCTGCAAACAATACCATCACCTGCTCCTATTGCCAGCATACGCGGATTGAGCTTGAAATTTTTATCAGTCTAGAACATCTCCGCGTTCAATGAAAAGAGTAAGGGGTTGTGTGTTAAACGAAAAAAACAACTCCTTAGGGGTTCCCATGGGAAGAGAAAGCGCAAGGCACATAATGTTAGGAACCAGTGCAAGGCACATAATGTTAGGAACCAGCAGTATAGAAAAAATAAAGGAGACGAAGAAGAATGAAAAAACCTGGCTCCGTCTAGTTTAGATTTTTATTTCTGTATAATTATATTAAAATTAAAGTGAAAAAATTAAACTAAACAATCATTATACAATAAAAACTCTATAAATTCATAATATTGGGCCCACAAAAATTTACTAATTGCTAGAGATTATTATTTTATCTGTAAATTAATAATTATTTATTTTATCAATAAATTTAATATATTATTAATATAATGGATTTTTTTCCAATTGTATTATGAAACAAATACTCAAATTCAACCCAAATTCCCTATATAATTATGATCCTTTTTATTTTTAATTACTGTTTGGAGGAAAAATCAAAGATAAATTTTTTTTATATGTGAATTTCAAGGAAAAAAAAACAAAACTCAAGAGCTCCTAAAATTTTTGGGTATTATATCATTATTAATTTATTATTTTTTAGGGGACTTATATTTATATAGAGATTTTTAAAAAATTTATTATCTTATTAATTTATCAATTTTGTTTGATTTTTGTACTGGTCCTGAGTTGGCACTGGAAAGATTTATTATCTAGTAGTATTAATTTATAGAGTATTAATTTAAGAAATTTTTACTGTAGGAGATTTGAATAAATGCTATTCCATAATGGGCCATCATAGTCAAACTAAACAAATATTTTGAAGATGATGGATAAACTATGTCATGAACCGGGGGTTTGATTGTTTAGCTTTCATAGTTCAGGGGCTTATCTATAATGTTGGGGGTTGGTTAACTATAAATAGTCAAGTTGTACTGAAATGCCATTATCGAAAATTATGTCCTCAAATTGAATACTGAAAATTTAGTTTCTTTCCCTCTTCTTGAACCCTAACTCTTGCCCTTTCTTTCTCCAATTTACCGGAATTTCCCTCCGATCATGTCGTCGGAGCTTCGCTCCTAACAAACTAGTTATCCGCACTTGACTACAGATAACGGGCCACCATAATGGATTATAAATAATGGCAACTGGAATACAAATAATGCTATGTAGTTTTGTCATGGTTTTGGGTTACTTTAGTATTAAGTAGATCTAGAAGGACTGAATTCTTATTTTTATCTCAATATATTTATATATACAGAGCTCAACCGAATACATGAAGCAAAAACTAGAGAACCACTGCTGCAAATTAATTAAATTACTTGTTGATGCAAACTACCAGCTGTGTGCAGTACAAGTGTCTTTGGTCTGCAATTCAGCTGCAGCCGCTTTTAGTCCATCAAGATCTTTTAAATGCAATGGTAGACGGATGGATTTGGTCACTAGCTTTAAAAGAAATACATAGGGTCATTTTTTGAATTGTCATGAGAGTAAGAAAATCATTTTTCTTTATTCTGAGATCCTTGAGCTTTTCAAAAGTATTTGTGGTGAGTTTAGGAAATTCAATGATGAAGTTATGGAATTGGGTAACCTCTCTTACATTCATTCAGCTCTTGCTGCAATCTCTGATGGAGTCAACAATAAATTATTGGTTGACCTGTTGGTAAGAATGAGACTGCTGTTGTCATGTGCATTTTGTGTCATTGTTGAGGCCTTGAAAAACAGCAGTTATTAATGAATAAAAATCCCATTCAAAGCAAGACAAATCTGAAGGCATGGGCTGAGAAGGTATCAGGTTCCAAAGGGAGCATCATGCTTGTGAAAGAATTATGCGTGCCATTTCCAGTGAAGTGACATATATGGGATGATGTCCAGGACATTGCTGGACACTACAAGAAAAATGGCTTTTGGCGGCACACAATGTATGCCGTGAAAAGTAGCAAAAGTGCCGGGAATATCATATTGCGATAGGAATTACAGCATATCACAAAGTGACGCGATAAGTGCGGTCGCAAATATTTGCGACACTTAAAAACAAGTGGGTCGTGACATATGCGACACTTATGCGTCAATATAAACACGTCACATTAAAATCGCGACATTTTGTTTGTGTCGATTGAGTACTGACGCATAATTGATGCGACATATTTAGCGTCACCTTTCAAATGTGCATCAAAGTTCTGTGACGCAAATTTGAAAAAGCCACATAATTTTAGTGACACACCCCTTTAAATGTCGCATGTTTACTGCAGCAACATATTTATGTTGGTAACTAAAATGCCACAGAAAATAATTTGCGACACAAGTTTTGATGTCATAATTAGATGTCATGCAGCACAAAAAATATGTCGCATTTTTTGAGGCATTAATTGGGGTATTGTTTTGCATATATTTTATTATTTTATGTTGATATATAATGTATTGTACAGCCAATTTTTTAGAATCGCATTACAGCCCTTATTTTGGAATAGTATTTATTTTTTACAACATTTAAAGTGTTTGTGGAACCCAATAAAAATAAGCATAATATTATTGTCGAATAAATTTTTAAGAGCAAAATAGAAATTTGCTAAAAGAAAAAAAGATTAGCATCCCATACAAACTTAAATGGAAAGCAACTAAGTCCATAAAAATTAAAATCCCACACAAAGTATATATCGTCATTACAAAATGTTCTTTCAATTCAAACATAGAAAACTAGCAGATTTTTGAAAGCTTCATCATCATGTAACCTTTTGAATTTCTTGCAAAAACAAACCAAAAAAATGAGAGAAAAACAAACTAATTTGTATTTATCACAAAATCGCATGCTTGTTTTTGTTTTTGTTTGGCAAGAAATTGATAGTAGTTACCTTATCATGTAGCTAGGCGCTTGGAGACCCTTCTAGCTTTCTTACGTTCCTAATGAGTTTCAATAATATGAGCTCATTTAGACACATATAATGATGAAAAACTTGAAAAAAAAAAAAATTGTTTCCGAAAAGCTAAAAATGTATGTTACCTTAGTGGAAGTAGCATCTGAACGAATCAATGGAGGATTATCATCTTTAGATTGATTTATCTCTTTGCTCACCTAATCAAAAGATAAAAAAAAAATGTAATGAAGAACAATAAA